ACTTGATCCATCTCAAGACAGGTACAAACTCAAGGCAGCTGACAGTGGCGTGCCTGGGGGGGTGAATGCCCAGACAGTGACTGACAACTAAGAGGAGCAAACTGAGGGAGAAGGAAGTGAAGACTAGATCATGAAGGGAGGATGGAGGGGAAAGGAGCTAGGGTATTATTCATTTCCTGTGGCTGCAATTACAAATGACCACAAATGTTGTGATTTAAAGCAACAGAAATTTCTAGAGTCATGGTCCTTTCCAGAGTCCCTGAGAGAGATATGTTTTGAGTCAGGGTCTCACTCTGTTGCTGACGCTGGGATGCAGTGGCATATCCACAGCTCATGACAGCCTTGACCTCCTAGGCTCAGGAGATTCTTCCACCTCAGCCTCCCGAGTTGCTGGGATTACAGGTGTATATCACCATGGCCGGCTAAGTTTTTACTTTTATTTTTGTAGAGATGAGGCCTCACTATGCTGCCAAGGCTGGTCTTAAACTTCTAGGCTCAAGCAATCCTCCTGTTGTGGCCTCCCAAAGTGCTGGAATTATAGGTATGCACCACCATGCCCTGCCAAAAAAATTTGTTTCCAATGAAATTCTTCTTTAAGCCCACTTCCTAACGTAAAGCTTTGTGTTTTTGAAGGCCTTGCCTCATGCATTATGAATGTCACCATGCCACGGTCACACAGCCTTGCAAGGTTTCTGTCACCCTCACACTGCCAGCCCAGTCTTTTCCACCAGCTAGGTTTAGGCATAACACAGCCATTCCTTCCTCTCTACCATTTACTCACTGAGAATAATCCTTAGTGATTGTGAGTGAAGAACACATCCAACATTCTTGTTTTGGCAGATACCTGGATATGGGTAGGACCAGTCAAGACAGGCTAATTATGTCACAGCTAACAAACAGCCACATATCTCTGTGGACAACCACAGCAAGAGTCTCCTTCTCACTCTCAGCATGTGTCCTGGGTTGGCTACGCTCCATGTCATCTTTACTCAAGGACCCAGGTTGATGGAACATTGTGGGTTGTCACTAGTATGTGGTGAATCACACACTAGCTCTAAATTTGCTGCCCAGAAATGACATGTCAGTTTTCATAGGCTAGAAGGAATCCCCTGACCAAGTCAGTGGTCAAGAGGTCAAGGGACAGGAATCTTCCCCTGGGGAGAGGGGCCCTGAATACGAGTGACTACACTCCCTCAGAGGGTTTCCAGTTACTCTAGTTACTGCATTATTGTGGCAAGCCCATGATTCCACGCTTCCAGAAAGCCTGGTCACCCCACCCCGTGAGAATTCTCTTCCAGGCACTGGGAATCCTCCATACAGACAATGCCTGCTTACACAATCTTGCCCCAGACAGCAGGACCATAAAACCAACTTCTCTAAGGGATGCCACTATAACAAAATGTCCGTGGCTGCCAATACGTTTTCAATACTCTCAGCACATTTCCATCATGGGTTGGGCATCGAGATGAGCCATTCACTCTCTTTCTGAGGAAGGCCGAATTTAATGACTTCTGTGAAAAAAAGTCCCTGAAGGATTCTAAGCTGTTTGCATCGATTCTGCTTTTATGGGGGTGGTTGTTGCAGGGAACAAAATTTGAAAACTCCAATACAGTTGACCCCTGAACAATGCAGGAGTTAGAGGTGCCTACTTCCCCCCGTGTGCAGCTAAAAAATCCTTTTGACTCCCTCCAAGTTTAACTACGAATAGCCTATTGTTGATTGGAAGCCTTATTGATAATATAAACAGTCAATGAACACATATTTTGTATGTTGTATGCATCATATACTGTATTCTCACAACAGAGTAGGCTGGGGAAAAGGAAATATTAAGAAAATCATAAGGAAGAGGAAATGTATTTACTACTCCTTAAGTGGCATTTGACCATCATAAAGGGCTTCAGTCTCATCATCTTCACATCAAGTCGGCTGAGGAGGAAGAGGAAGACAAGGGGTTGCTGTTGCAGTCTCAGAGGCGGTAGAAGCAGAAGAAAATCTGCACACACGTGGACCAGAGCAGTTCAAAACTGTGTCGTTCAAGGATCACCTGCATATTTTTCAGGAGAAGAGCATCTGGCCCAATGAGTGTTTGCTGAATAAATAAAAACATAATTTGTGTACTAAGTCCAACTGGGCAGTTTGTAGTACACACCCATGACATTTCTGTTCTTTCTCTCGGCTTTGTGAGGTTTCACATAGCTATAAGTCCACTGTCAATTGAAGTCACTTTGCTCTTTGAGATTAAAAGAGTAAAAACAAACAAACAAAATCCCTCAGTCCGTGGGAAGTCTAGCAGCCTCCTCAAGATCTTTGTGACTTTTCTAGGAATTTTATGTACTTGTAGTCACTTGTGGTTTTATAGCTGATGTCTTGAGCTCTCTTGGGTCTCACCTTCACCACAGTCTTCTTTACTCTTGTAAGATCTGGACAGAAAGCTTAGACCTTTGTCCCTATTTTTCTGCCCCCAAAACCCCAACACCACCAAAACATACTGCTCACACAAGGCAGCCACCCTCCCACTGAAAAATCCTTCTCAATTACCTACTTGCCAATTCCCGGGCCCCCTCCCTGGCTTCTGGCTTCTCCTACTTTCTCCTAATTCAACCCTCCTCACTTTATTATGCAGGGCAATCGCTTTCCTTCCATCTCTTGCCCCAGGCTTACCTTTACATATCCAAAGGCTCATTAATGTTTGGATAAAACAAAGGGCCATTTATACAAGAAAAAATCATTGGCAGAGATTGTGTAATTTCTTTCTTTCTCTTTTCCTTCACGGGTGGAAAGAAAGCTGTATGGACATTTACTTTCCTCATTCAGGAAGGATGAAGCAGCTACAGTTTAGGTTTTAAGTAATCTTTTTCTTTCTACTTTTTGGCAAATGTATACTTTCTTTTTTTTTTGAATTGGAGTCTCACTCTGTCGCCCAACTGGAGTGCAGTGGCAGCTCTCGGCCACTGCAGCCTTGGCCTGCTGGGCTCCGGCGATCCTTCTGCTCAGCCTTCCAAGTAGCTGGAACTACAGGCGTGCGCTACCACGCCCGGCTAATTTTTTAATTTATTGTAGAGCTGAGGTCTCGCCAAGTTGCCCAGGCGGGTCTTGAACCCGCGGGCTCAGGCAATCCACTCACCTCAGCCTCCCAAAGCGCGGGATTACAGGCTGAGCCACCCAGCTCGGCTAAATGTATACTTTCTTGACATCTATTTTTGATAAACTTATTTAACACAGTGGTTCTCAAACTTTTGGTCTCAGAACTCCTTTGCACTCTTAAAAATTATCAACTGATTTATATGAATTTCATCTATCGATATTTACCAGGTTAGAAATTAAAACAAAAAGTTTTATGTTTTTGCAAATCTCTTTAAAGTCTGGCTTAACAGAAGACAACTGTTCTATATTAATTCTGTTGTAGTATTACAGTCTTCAAGAAACTCAACTGTATACAACTTATGACAAAGTGAGAATGAAAAGACTAATAGATTTTAGTATTATTATGCAAATAATTTTAAAATCTTGCTAAACATTAAAGCCACCGTTTTAATACACATTCTAGTTGAGCAACCTTTTTTTTTTTTTTAACTTGATTAAATCAATGAGATCTTGAACCAAAACTGAACCATAGACCAGGCACAGTAAGTTCCAGCTACTTTGTCGGCTGAGGTGGAGGCTAGCTTGAGCCCAGGAGTTTGAGGCAATAGTGTGCTAAGACTGTACCCGTGAACAGCCATTGCACTCCAGCCTGGGCCTTCTCAACAAAACAAAAGCTGAACCATGAACCAAAAGTGCAGAAAAATCTCCCTGGCTAACTTGTAGTCAATTTAAATAACCATGACTCAAAGACAACACGCTGAAAAACTATCCATGCAGAGTCACTCTTCCACCTTTGTCTCTATCTGATAAATTCCCCCCACCCTTCCAATTTCTGCTCAGGTGATACCTGCTCTATGGCGCCTCAGCCCCAACATAAACTATAAGACTGATGATGATGATACTGTTACCAACAACAGTGACTGACATTTTACTGGCCACTTACAAGGAGCCAAGCAATGTCAAAACACTTGACACGCGGCAGCTCATTTAACCTTCAGGACAAGCTCTGGGGAAGGCGGTGGCCTCCCTTTGCCGAAGAGGTGGCTGCGGGTTGAAGAAAGGCCCCTGACCTGTCTCTCTGGGCCTGCGCCCCTGCTCTGCTCCAGCACCGGAGGCGCCCAGGTGGCACCAGCCACGTGCCTCTGTCCTGAGGTCACCCTCGGGTCAAAGGTCGCGGATGGCACGCCTCAGCGTCCTCCCGACCGCAGGGTCTCCGTCGGAGAGGGCGCCACGAGAGGGGAACCAGCCCTTCGACTTCGGGACCCTCACGCTCCGGGGCCCGCGTGCCCGGGACCCGCCCCGGAGAGCGCGGGCGATCCCCCC